GTGCCTTTTCCTCTTCCAGTCGCTTTGGGGTTGTGTGGCGAGAAGGCTGGCGGTCCTGGGGGGCCGGCTGGGGTTCGGCCACGCCGCGGGGGCGCTCCCAGTCCCGGTGACCGGGGAGCTCTCGTGACACCGTGGGTGTCCCCGAGTTCCTTGACTGGTGTTAATGGTTCCTGTGGAACGGCCCAGCTCTGCACCGCTGCTGCCTTCTCCTTGCTCTGCGAGCCAGGAAGGATCTGCACACGTTTTTGTCTGGTTCCTGGGGAGGGCTTTGCTGGGGGGTTTCTCAGACAGAAGGTGGCTGGTTCCTCTTGCCTCAGCTCGTAGTTGTTCCGGTAACTGTCTCGCCAGTTCCCAGATCGACGTCCTGCCGGCAGCAAATCTTTTCATGCATTAAAATCTCCTCAAGCAAGAACATGATCCGAGCAGACTCTCTCTGCTGTTGTGTAGCCAGGAGGAGCCGGAGCCCCACCGGGCTCCTTAAGCCGCTGCTCTTGCGGTGCAGAATCTTCCCTGGTGTTGAAACTGGTGGGTGCTGCGTATGGCAGCCCGATTCCTGCGTGCTGGGGGCTGGGAGGAGAGAGGCAGCGTGCAGGTAACGCCGCTGGGGTGACGCTGCCGGGGCGGAGGAACCCTCCTTAGCTTCGGAGCGCGGCTGGCAGACGGGGAGCTGGTCTCCGGTAGGGCAAGGAGGAGCCAAGGCAGAAGGGCAGCGAAAAGCCCCCCCCAGAGGAGGCTGGGGGGGGATGTCACGCTCTCTGCAGCCCCCAGGCAGCCGTTGGTGCGTGTGACCGGGGTTTGTGCTCTGCAGGGTGTCGTGCCAACGGCTCAGAGAGCCGCCATCGTGGTCGGGGTGGAGCTGCCGGTCTACGACATCACCAAGAAGCACTTAATTCTGTCGGGCCTGATGGGCGACACCATCTTTGCCCACTTCGTGTGAGTATTTGCTGCGGCTGCTGCCCTCCCCAGGCTTGGCTTCAGCGGGGCTGTGAAGCAGAGGAGCGAGGTGGGGTTTGGGGTGAGACCTGTTCGTAGAGCAAGTGCTCTGGAGCTGCAGGGAACAGGTTGGTGCTTCGGATGGAGCAGCTCAGGTTTACCCAGGGGGACCTCCCCGGAGAGAAGGAGCCCGGCAGGAATCCTGTGGCGACGGGAAATGCCAGCGTGGTTTCAGCTCGCTGGTGACCCCAAGCGCTGGCGCTCCCTGTCTGTGCCCGGGTGCGGACGAGGCAGGAGCTCTGGGTGTGGAGCAGCTCAGGTTTACCCAGGGGGACCTCCCCGGAGAGAAGGAGCCCGGCAGGAATCCTGTGGCGACGGGAAATGCCAGCGTGGTTTCAGCTCGCTGGTGACCCCAGGCGCTGGCGCTCCCTGTCTGTGCCCGGGTGCGGACGAGGCAGGAGCTCTGGGTGTGTGACCGCCCGTGGCGATCGCTTGGACGAGCCGCCCCGGTCCCGGGTCCTCCGCTCGGGCGCTGCCGCCTGCGGCCGTTGCTGGAGGAGCTCCCCGCGGCGAGCAGGGACCTGCGGAGGGGACGAGACCCTGAGCAACCTGACCGAGTGTTGGAGTCAGCCTGCTCTGAGCAGGGGGTGGGTTAGAGACCTCCCAAAGTCTTGCTTCACCTACATTTTCCTGTTCTTCTGGCAGACACCTTAGCTGGAGGCGCTGCAGTGCTTCTGTTGGGTTTGCCCGCTGTGGCCTGAAGGTGACGAGCACTAGACCATACGTGGAGGGGGGAGGCTGGCAGCTGCATGCTCCCTCTTGCTGCCTTTGCTCTTCCTCCCTCCTTCCCCGCCCCGAAGACATGTTTGCTCTGGGGAGAAGGATGTGCGCTTCCGAGAGGCTGCCTTCAGGTCTGTGTCACCTCGAGAGCACCCGGAGACCCCTGCCG